TTTTTTTTATTTTTTTTTTTCTGAAAGCTTCAAAGCCCGGCACACTACTGAGGACAAGAACAAGAAGAATTCAGCAAGCATACTTAACGAAACAACACCGCACATCTTACATACGACATGGGATAAGGGAAACGTAAACAAAGACATAAAACGTTAGTGACAGGCTGTTCACTCGGGCTGTCACGGGCTCGTCAGGAGGCTGAACCCTAGACAGTCTGCACAATCCCCATATTGACGTTCTGACTCATGATCTACGTAGAGCCCGGTAGACAGGCAGGCAGGTGACAACGCAAGCAGCAAGGGAAAGCAGGCAGCAGTAAAGCTGACAGCAGGTCGGGGGGGGGGAGGGGAGGGGGGGGAGGAACTGGAGGGATGAAGCAAAGCAACCAGCCACAGAGTCAAGTGAGAAGGTGAGCGAGCAGCAAAGTGGGCGCCAAGGCAGGAGGCAGGCAGCAAGGGTAAGGCAGGCAGCAAGGGTAAGGCAGGCAGCAAGAGCAAGTCAGGTAGCAAGCATCAACAAGGCAAGCAAGGCAGACAGCAACACAGGCTAACGAGGCAGCAAGCGGGGAGCAAAGTGGGCTTCAAGGCGGGCAGCAAGGCGACCAAGCAAGAAACAACAATCAAGGCAACAAAGCACACATCCATGGCTATTTGGCACACCTCAACGGCGCTCATTGCAAAGTTGCAGAGAAGGCAGCCAGGCATGCAAGCAAGACGGCCAAGAAAGGCAGCCAAGCAAGCATCAACGAGGCACGCACTCGGGCAGCAGTGTCATCAGCAAGGCAGGTCGCGACGCAGGCAGCAAGGCAGCCGATCAATCATTAATAAGGCACGCCATCAGGCAGTAAAGTGAGCAGCAAGGCAGGCAGCAAACTGGACAGCAAGGCAGGCCGCAAGGCAACCAGCAAGGCGGGCAGTAAAGTGGACGGCAAGGTAGGCAAGCAAGGCAGGCAAGCAAGGCAGGCAAGCAAGGCAGGCAAGCAATCATCACTGGGTCACGCGATTGGGCAGCAAGGCAGGGCAGGCAGCGAAGTGGACAGCAAGGCAGGCAGCAAAGTGGACAGCACGGCGGGCAGCAAAGTGGACAGCAAGGCAGGCAGCAAGCCAGGCAAGCAAGCCAGGCAAGCAAGGCAGGCAAGCAAGGCAGGCAAGCAATCATCACTGAGTCACACGACTGGGCAGCAAAGTGAGCAGCAAGGCAGGCAGCAAGGCAGGCAGCAAAGCAGGCAGCAAAGTGGATAGCAAGGCAGGCAGCAAAGTGGACATCAAGGCAGGCAAGCAATCATCACTGAGTCATCCGATCGCACAGCAAAGAGAGCAGCAAGGCAGGCAGCAAGGGAGGCAGCGAAGTGGACGGCAAGCCAGGCAGGCAGGGTGGCAGAAAGGCAACCAAGCAAGCGTGGACAAGGCAGGCAAGCGAGCAGCAGGGCAAGCGGGCAGGCAAGCAGGAGACCAAGCATGCAGGGAAGCAAGGCAACACAAAGCAAGCGGACGAGCAGCCAGGCAGCGGGACAGCACCAACAGGGCAGTCCAACACCACAATCACCTCCTCAGACCACAAGTAGAACTCCGCAGACTGTGGGTTCACCCCACCGTCAAAGGTCAAGGAGTTGCTTTGAGTAATGTCTGTCAGCATCACGGAACACATAAATACACAGGCAACTCAAACACAGCAGCCCCTGATAGACTCACAGGCAACACGCAGCCGACTATTTGGCAAATCTCAAAGGTGCTCATTGCACATTCGAGATCAACGAAAACACGGGGCAAGAAACACCGCTAACACAGACAGTGGAGAACACAAAGAACATATATAAATGAACATGCATGTAAACGGAACAAGTACAGCCAGTACAGCTACGCCCATACGCACGGAAATGCCAATGAGATATTCGGGGTCTAAATAAGTATCCATCTACAGATCTCATGGTCACTAAGTCTCCCTCTCTCTCTCTCTCTC